AAAAAAAAGATTTGCTACTAGAGTCCCAGGTTCACACACACATGATTTATGCCAAACACATCTCTATCAGTGGATGGTGATAGACAAGTTTTCTCGAGGAATATACCTGTCTTGGTCTCATCAGGGTGTCTTTTATAAAAAAAGATACTTTTTGAGCTTTAGGAAAAAAATGACTTTGAGTCAGGGCTAACGTAAAATTTTAACTCAAAATGCACATCTTTCCAAATTACTGAAGCTTTGCCCCAAGTGTATAGGGATGCTGCCCCACATAAAACAAGTGTGTTTGGATGGATCAAGCGTCTTAAGGTTAAATGAATTCAAGCAGACCGGTCAGCTGATGTGGCTGGGGTGACTGCCTCGGGGGAGGAAGTGGAGAGGTGGATTCCAAAAGGTCATCTTGCTAGATTTCCTCAAAGGAAACAGGACAGCCCTAGGAGGCTTATTATGAAGTTTTGAGAAAATTGAAAACTGCACTGGTTGGAAAATGATCAGGTAAAGTTGCAGCAGAGTTTTTTTTTTCTATCAGGACGATGCCCTTGCTCCTTCTTACAGGTGGTAAGGGCTGTCCTAGAATTTTGTTGGACAGCCTTACCCCACCCAGCCTACAGCCCTGATCTTATCACTTCAGACTCGTTCCCCAAACTCAAAAGAACATTTCAAAGGGACATGATTTGTGTCTCTGGATGATGCCAATATTGCTCTGATGTGACCTAAATCCAATTTTGGGAGAAGGGCTAGAACACTGCCTTTAGAAGTATGGGGGTGGGGGTGGGGGGAGTATATGGACCTACAGGCCCTGAATCAAGACCAATGGTTTGCAGTAGCTTTTGGTTTCAAACAGGAGCCAAGAGCCATGTCTTCCTTTGGTCTGTTCGCTATTCAGTACCCCAGAGGGGAGTGGCCAGTTCAGTTGGAAGAAGCAGTCTATAGAATTAATGCCCTTTTGTTTATTTTTTAAATCATTTTATTGAGAGCTCTTACAATGCTTATTACAATCCATAAAAAAAAGTATATGGACCTAGATAGAGGACATGTTGAGAAATAGCTTTGTTTTATTTTGCATAATAAAGTTTTCTATGATTCCGTAGCAATGTTTTTGACTTGCCCTTCTATTTCAATTCCGACCTGAGGATAGCTTCTCTCAGAGGACTGTTACTTTGTGTAGAATTTCATACTTTGTCCCCTTTGGCAATGAAATCAAATCAGTTGACTCATAATGACCCTAACTATAGAGAACCACAGTTTTCAAAGCTGTTAATCTTCACAAGCCCATCATCTTTCTCCCAAATGGCTTCACTCACTGCCTCATAGCAATGCTGTAAGACAGAGAGCTGCCTCTGAGTTTCCAAGGCTATAAATCTTTCCAGCAGTAGAAAGCATACATTTTCTTCCTCAGAGCAATGGTTGGGATCCAACAGCTGAACTTGAAGTTAGCAGCCCAACGAGTAAGCACTACACCACCAGGGCTGCTTGATGGTGTCCAGGTGTGACTATCAATTCCAATTCCCTAGGATCTAAGCAAAAAATGTAAACATTTATCCAATAATTAATTGTAAACCAATCCTCATTCTTTTTATATCCTGAATACAAGATCTGTGACCTGAATGACAGTACATGGACAACTGTATCTAATGGTTTGTTTCATCCACCTTACTTGGCGTTGATTACAGAGAAAGACCCTTACAGTTTCTCTTCCCTCCCCGAGGAATTTTTGTTTTCTAAGAGTGTTGCAACTCTTTAGGGAAGTAGAAAGCTAGGCCTTTCTTTCCAAGGAGCAGCTGGTGATTTCAAACTGCTGACCCTGCTGTTAGCAGCCCAATTCATAACCACTACGCCACCAGGGCTCCAGTCTCCTCCAGGAATTTTGAGTCATGTTTTATATACAGAAGGTATGTCAGATCACTCCAAACTACAAAAAGAAAAACAGAACTCAGGATGATGTATGTACACTGACAAGAAGTCTGAACTAGTATGGCATGTATCACTACAGAATTTAGTCAGTGACAGACCAGTAGTTTTCAAGGGGTATAGTTAATCACTTTTAGAGAGCCCAAGAAACATAACCCAGATAATTTTGAGGTTTTGATTAAAATGTGGTTTGTGGAAGCAATTTTAACCTTCACTGTATGTAAAGATTAAGTGCACAACAAAATTATAAACGAATGAAAAATAATTTATTTACACAATGCACCCATAGATACCTAAATACAATTTGGCTTTGAAACTAAATGAGACCATATGTTTACTATTAAATTTGGAGTGCGTTATCCGAAAGTCATACAACAAAGTGAAACAGCACGGCAAATCCAACACATGTGCAGATGTTCTCTG